TCCATCTCAAAAGTAACATAATAATGACCCAAACAAAAAAAAAAGTGTTTTTTTGAGACGGAGTCTCGCTCTGTCACTCAGGCTGGAGTGCAGGGGTGTCATTTCAGCTCACTGCAACCTCTGCCTCCTGGGTTCCATCAATTCTCTGCCTCAGCCTCCCCAGTAACTGGCATTAAAGGTGCCCACCACCATGCCCAGCTAATTTTCGTATCTTTAGTAGAGACGGGGTTTCACCATCTTGGCCAGGCTGGTCTTGAACTCCTGATCTCGTGATGCACCCACCTCAGCCTCCCAAAAAATCCCAAAGTGTTGGGATTACAGGCGTGAGCCACCATGCCAGGCCCCAAACAAATTTTTCAGCACACATTGCCCCGTATTTGAAGAGTAAAACTCTAGAACAAGACAGACATGGTTTCTGATTGCATGGAGGTCAGAGCACTTACACAAAGGGAAGGGAAACAGCCTGGTAGCTTCCCACCACAGGGCCTTTGTACTTGGAATGCTGCCAACCTGCTGGTCAGGAGAGAGAGACTCATGTGAGAACGGACTTGAGATAGGATGATCAGGAAAAAATACATCAAAATTGTAAATATAAAATGAGGCCAGGCATGGCGGCTCATCCTATAATTCTAGCACTTAGGATGCCAAGGTGGGAAGAGTGCTTGAGCCAAGGAGATTGAGGCTGCAGTGAGCCAGGATTCTACCACTGCTCTCCAGCCTGGGAGGCTACAAGACCCGGTCTAAAAAAAAAAATTACGTTTTTTGGGTCAAAACCCCTCCTGGTCCCTATTTATATGCAGCAAACAAATATTTCCTCTAAACTCTTCAGGACCCTAAATGACGTCTGCTTCCTTTCCAATGGGGGAGAAAGAAGCGGAGTTTCCTACGGTGCTACTGGCTCAATGGCTGAAGGATCAAGCCCCCCTCTACTTCTCAATGAGGAAAGCTCCAGCTTCCTAAGAGCAAACTGCTTTTCTTACTAAAAATATCTTTTTCTCCATATGATGCAACATAAGCATTTCCTCGAAAATAAAAATACTCCTCAGAGATCATTAAAATGTATCAGATATTTCAACCCTGTTATACAAATCAGACAGACAAAATGATTCGTCGGGCAAACCTAGAATCCACTCAGTTCAACAAACTTACGGAGACTACCAGAGCCACCAGGCACTGTTCGTGGTGCTGGAATACTGGTCATGTCCAGGGAACACTAGAGGGCGCGTGAGAGCGTCTACTTTCAAGAAAATCAGTCAGGGCTACTACAGGAGCCAGGGACCAAAATCAAAGGGAAGCATGTGTGTGGGGGGAGAAGTTACCTGAGAACAGGGTAGAGAAGCACAGAATAGGAAGTACAATGACCATTCACTGAAGAGGCCTTTTGCACAGGGCCTGAGAGGCAATCCCAGTGCCATTAAAGATCTGCTGGCCAGGCATTGCTATAAAGGTGGCACAAGTTAGATATACAGGTGTCAGAACACATGCATTAGGTTTCTACTGGTTCACCCTAACATGCATGACTCGGGATTCACTAGCTCAGAAACCCTGTGAGGTGAGACAGGTATTAGTATTACAATGAGGAGGCTAAACTCAGAACAAATTGCTTTCCTAAACTCAAAGTGCTAGCTACTAGTAAGGCTGGGTCTAAAACCTTCATCTTTAATCTGAAGTCTGGGGCTTCCTCCAGTGCTTGAGCGTGTACCACCTAGAGGTTTCTCACCAGCAAATGATACCTTGATCCGCTTACCGTCTTCTTTAGCATGCTATCATAATAGACAAACTTAGCTCGCAGAGATGCAACTGGCATTGTAAGAGCCATACAGACCCCCAATCAAGCTCTGGGGGCCACTGACACCCTAGTCTTTCAATTCTAAAACCCACTTGATTATCTCATAATGATATTTCAAAAAAAGGAGGTAAACTACATGAAACATGCAGATGAACTGAGATAATTAGGAGGTGTCAAAATGTGACTAAAATAATTCTCAGGAGAAAACAGGATGGTAGTACAGGGTAAAAGATGAAGCATTAGTAGAATGTTGGATTGGAAGTGACCTCAGAGGTTGTTGGGTCATTCTGTAGACGAAGAGAGACTAGGTCCTCTCAATGACTTATACAAATAGTGACAGAGCAGAGAATGGTGTTGATTCTTATTCCATGGTCCTTCAACTATTCCTAAAATTACATACAGCAGTCATAATTTTGTATGCAGCCCTAGAAGATAGCCTGGTGTTCAAGTCTGTCTCATTTGGATGCCAGCTAGCCCCATATCAACCCCATGCACACACATGATGGATCACTCCCTGCATTTACTTAGCACGCAGTATTGGAGCTAACAGGGTGATGGAGTGAAGACACATGTGCCCTGTGGTTCAAGTGTGCGGAAGATTCTTAACCATCAGTGTTCTAGGGCTGACGCAGTCCTGGAACTCCTGCCCAAGGAGAAGGATTTTGCTACTGGAGACAAAGTTAAGCTCAGACATGGTACACAGAAACACGAAATAACCGGACTGCGACGATTTATCTGAAAGGATTTGGTCCGTAAGCCATGGAAAGGGCATTCCTGTCGAGAGAGGGCTGCTCAGATGCCACACACACAAATCTCTATCCCACAACCTGGCCACATATCCATGCCCTATAAACCTACAAATTGATGCAATCCCATTTTCAAATAACTCAAGAGAAAAATCACCAAAAACTTCCTCTACCCACCAAACTCCCTGCTGAAAGACACGCAGACACCAGGACACTTCCTTCACGCGCCTCTCCCTCTCAGAAGCAGCTACTCTCCATCCACCTCCACCTTCCCCAGTACTGCCCACCGGCGTCTGCTACGACAATGAACAGTTCAGGGTGTTTGGGAAGGCAGATGAAAAACACAGGCGCGAGAGCACTTGGAAAATGATGCAACAGCTTGGTTTCAAAGATTACGGATAAAGAATCAAGTCCTACTCTCTGCTTGAAGAAGTATCTATCATATTCCCTTCACTCTCCAACTCAGTTTTTAAAAAATAATGATGCTTGTAAATAACAAAGTGGATTTATTTTGAAAAACTAATTCAAACTATTAAGCTTGACAACTTGGAGATTAATGCATGAACCCATTCATCAAGTGTCTATGAGTACCTACTCTGTACCTGCTCCTGGGCGGACCAGATAACAAGAGACTCGTGTCTCTGTGTGTGTGTGTGTGTGTGTAGGTTTCATCAGGTGGCAACATTCTCACGGGGCCTTTCCCAAGGACGTGTGTGTACGGGGGTGGAGAAAAGGGGTGGAGGAATGCCGGGCAGGGCACGGCCGACAGGGACCAGGCATGGGAAGCTAGTGCAGCCAGAGCCTGGGAGATGAACCAGAATGTAGATGCTTAGAGATTAAAAAGTGAAAAACGGGCTGAAGTTTCCACAGACGTCGGGATTAGAGCGTTTGCAGACTCTCATCCCGGGATTATAAGGCGCTCCGAGAGAGACAGGGCCACACCTGCGCTTCAAATTGCTAAACCTTCAGGTACACAATAAATCTGTATTTACAGCAAGTAGCAATTTATGTATTTCAACATGCACACAGTATCTGTGATTATTTCAGGCAAAAAGGATTTCCTCATCCCTTTTCAAAATATGTTTTTACTACTAATCACCAATATTATAGGCGTGTTCTCAAAATTAAAGACTAGAGGAAGAAAGTTATAGGTGGCAACTGCTCCCTCTGAAGATCCCACCCAGCAGAGCTGGAACCTGTAAGGCCATCCTCACCTACACTTTGTGTCAAACTGGTTTAAATCTAAAAAAAACACGAAGAATCACAATCAATCAAATTAATTCACCTGCCCACTATTCTAAGGAAAACAATCTCCACTCCAGGTAAATTTCATTTGGCAAATTCTTAAATATTAACTTCAAAAAACACATGATCGCCTCCCCAGTATCCCCAACGCTGCACTACTTGGCAGATCGTAAGTTACTGCTCCGGACCCGGACCCTATAAACCCAGACTGAATTTTTCAGCACCCAACTTGTTTCTACGCGAATCCAGCAAGTTGGATCGAGTTGTCATTGTGAAAACCTGCCTGTTCCCCTTTCAAGGCGGAGGTGGCAACGGTGCACATCATCCGCGGATAAGTGGAAGGACAGACAGACACCAGGGGACGAAGGAAGAGCGGATAAAGCACAGAGGGGAAGCAGCGGCCGCGGGGACGCCGAGCCACGGCCGGGGGCGCCGTCGGGGAGGAGGGTGGGCTGCAGGACGGGCTCCCGAGGGCTCCGAAATGCGCTCGAGCCAAAACAAAAACAAAAAGTTCAGCGCGGCAGTGGGAGCAGATTGGGCGAGACGGTTCACGGCTGCCCATTGGAGAACAGGGAAAACAGAGTCCCCCAATCGCGAGCGGCGGGGCTGCTCCCCTCGTGCGGCCGCGGGCCCGGCCCCGACGCTGCCCGGCGGCCGCTACTGCTCCCTTCCGGCTGCGGCCACCACTGCAGGCCCCGCACCGGCCCGGAAGAAGCCCCGCCCCCCGCGCCCGGCCGCTCGCGCCGGCCCCAGCCCCACCCGCCACCGGCCCCCGCAGCCCAGCGACCGGCCCCGGCCCGCGGCCCCCCACGCCCCCGCCCGCCCCGGCGCCGAGGCCGCCCCCCGCACACCCGCGCCGGCGCCTCCCCTCCCCAGACTCACCGTCCGCGCCGCCCAGCTCCTCCTCGGGGCGCGTCCGACGCCCCGCTGCCCGGCAGCTGCGATGCGGGACCGCGCCGCCGGGCCCCAAGTCCCGGTCCCCTCAGAAAATTAATCACCAAAAATAATTCCAGAGAAAAATGGAGAGTAAAATCCAAGATGGCGGCGCGGGCCGCAGCACCGCCCGCTCCCTCCGCTGACGGGAAAAATGAGTCCCCGCGGCGGCCGAGCCCCCCGCCCCCACCCGGTGGCCGCCGCCGCCGCCGCGCCTCCCGCGCCCTCGGTCTCAGCTCGCCGCGCCCCCGGCGCCCGCCCCCAAGCCCCGCCGCCCGGGGCCTCACCTCCGCCTCGCGCACGGCCGTCCGTACGGAACGCGTCCGTCGGCTTCGGGACTCCGAGTCCCAGGTCCGTGCGCCGCGCGGTGCCGCCTCCGGTCCCTCGGCGTCCTCACCTCATCTCCCCGCAGCCCCGCCACCCGCACCGCCGCCGCGTCGCCGCCCCCGGTGAGCCGCCCGGACCCCGCCCGGGCACGGTGGAAGGATACGAAAAGGAGGCCGCGGCCTCGACGGCGGAGGGACACCGTGCCGCGCGGCCGCCACTGCGTGCACGCGCCTCCCGCCCGGCCTGGCCGCCGCGGCGCTTCCACTGGGCTCTGTGCGGGACGCGGGCACGCGCAGGGAGCGAGTTCCGCGCCGGGCGCTCCCGACGGCGGAGGGACAAAGGGCGATTCAGCGCGAGCCGTGCCCTCCCCTCGCGGCGGAGGGATTCGCGGCCGGCCGGTCGGCGGCCGGTATCCCTCCGCCCTCACTGCCCTTTAAATCGCGGCTGAGGCGGTGTTGCCGGCGCCCCGTGGGCGCCACCTTAGGGCCTTGTCCGGTCTTTACGCGACCGCGTCTCGGCCTCTTTCCCGGTCCCTGTCCCGGCGGGGCCCGGGCTGACCTGGGTGCTCGCACACCTGCACCTACCAGGGACGGCTCTGAAGCCGGCCCACTGGGCTGCCGCCCGGGGGAACGGGGACGCTCCTCAGCTGCTGCGCGTCCCGGTTGCTCAGAGGGAGGTGGACCCGGGCAGACGACCGTCTTTGTTGTGGGAATGGGGGTCGCTGGCAGCAGATAGACCCTGAGACCGTGTGGGCAGCCTGAACGTTCCTGCGCGGAGCGTGCCGGGGAGGGGAGCGGGCGCGGCCCGGCCTGGCCCCCAGCACCCACTGTGCGCCCCGTGCCGCGCTTCGATCTGCTTCGCTCCGCTCCGCTCCGGGTGGGCCCTGCGCGCCGGCCTTGCGGCCCCTCCTCTGGGAGCCCGGGTCGGCGGGGAGATCCTGAGGGGGCCCCTGCGAGCCGGGGGTTACAAAGCCTGCGTGGGCATCAGTCTTGCAGCCCAGACAACACAACAACGATGAGCGCGCGCCCGACCTGCGGGGCTGCCCAGGCCCTCGCAAAGCCTCCGTCTCACGCCTCAGCACGACCCTCGGAGGAGGGGGCCATGTGGATTTCCCTTTACAGCTAGGGAAACTGAGGCACGGGGGGTTCGGTGACCTCTATGAAAGTAGTCAGGGCTCGAGCCGGAGGCCTCCTCCAGCACTCGGGTGAAAAATACAGACTAAATCAGGAAGCGGGTGCGGAGGACCTGCGAGAAGTTGAGGTTGGCACAGGCGTGCAGATGCGTTGAATTCGGTGCCTGCAGGTGCCCTGAGGAAGCGCAGACATGGAGGGTGAATTGGAGCGTGTTGGGGAAAGGGGGTGGTTAGGAAATGCACGACAGTCGGACCAGCCAGTGCGCCGTGGGAGAGGAGAGAGGCTGCACTCGCCACGGAGAGGAGGCGGGCAGGGCAGGCAGCTCAGCTGCCAGGGAGAACCCCAGCCTGCCTTGGTTTCCCCTGTGGCTGCAGGGCCATCGTCCTCCGCAAAGGATGATGAATGGAGGCCGGGGACGATCACCCAACACAGGACTGGGCTAAGTCCAACTAACACTGGTGCACAGCGCCTCCCTCATTTGCCCTCGTCCTCCACCTTGACCTTGGCTGGTAGACACGAGGCTCTTTACCGCGTTCCACAGAGGGAAACTGAGGCACGGTGACTCGCTGAGGGCAAACGCTGATGGAGGAAGAAGCGGGTCTCATCTTCAAAACCAGAGCTCCTCCCACTGCCCTCACTTGTCCCATGAGCAGGTCCCTCCCTCTGGTGGTGGGCACAGCCCGAGCACCTCTCCTGTCTGCCTGTTCACTAAAAGCAGTGTCATCTGTGGCAGCAGAATCCGCCCTGCCGCGTTCGTCTTTGCAGATGGAACTAACAACTGATTGCTTTGGTTTTCTGGGTTTCTGGTTTATCATAAACTTTCTGAGATTTTCATAGTGCCTGGCTCCAAGTACTCAACTTGCACCCCAGAAACACCGAATACCCACGGGAGGTGAGCTCACTAGGGAAAGATCATCTGTCACCAAGTCGACCTTGGTCTCAGGTCCCAAGTCCAGCTATGCCTGAGCAGCCCTCCAGAGCCCCCAAAGCCGATGTCCTCCCCACCCCCAGCTTTCCAGAGCCCACCCAGAGCATAGAGGTGCTCTCCACATGCCCTTCAGGCTGAGCACCAAATCCTGAGCCCTGTAAAGCCCCCATACTCCCAAAATGTAGGCACTTCCATGCATTCACTGCCCGCTGCCAAGCCAAGTGTTCTGGCATTTCTTTGCGAGGCTGGGCCCACAGCCTGGCAGGGATACAGATGAGCAAATGTAAGCCCAGCTGCTCCCAGGCTCCCAGTTTACTGTCCACTCCTCCCTCAGTTCCTCTGCATTGCCAGCTGCTCTTCCAGCCTCAGCTGAGAGTCCCGGGGTGGGCCAGGGCTCCTGGCAGAGCTGAGTTGGTGTTCAGGATCTGGTGGAGCCGTGCAGGGGGCTTGAGACCTTTAGGGGGGTCCTGGCTCAGGGAAGCCAGGGCTGAGCTGGGCGGAGGGCACAGCCCAGAAGAGCCCTCCCTAGGGAGACTCCCACAGGAGAGGCCAGTTGGAGGCTCCTCCTGCCAGCTGGCAGGGGAGGGAGAGCAGGAAGTAGGTGGTCAGGCACCTGCCCAGTCCCTGTGTGACCAAAGCCCTTGGCATTTACCCTGTGAGACCTCTAGACACCCCAAAGTGGAAGAGCTAAGCCACAGAAGCTAGGGGGCCCCCACCCAGCTTGGTTGACTGAAAGGGATTAACAGCTCTAAAGAAAGACCGAGTCAGCGGAAGGGGCCCGGCCAGCCCCGGAAGTACGGTGAGGCTGGCCAGGAGAGCCAGCTTAGCCTGGAGCTGGCCTGGGAGTGGCACGCCTTCCAGGGCACTGACTGAGGCCACGGAGTCTATTCTGGTCTCCCTAGCAGGGCTGGCTCTGGTGTGTCCAGGGGCGCTCCAGCCTAGTGCCACCCACCCTGCCGTGCTCTTCCACTCCCTTTCTTCAAGTGCCAGGTTCACCCAGTGACAGGATGGCAGGGATTCACTTGCCTTGATCCTGTGCCTACTGGGAGAGCCCACAGGTCACGTTGACCCAGAATTCCAGGTTGGAGGCAGGTCACTTCTCGTAAAGTGATGTTGGCTTTCATGCTCTGCACATGCGTCTGCCCCGGTCCCCACCCTGCCCGGAAGCTAGGACTGCTCTGATGGAAGCAGGTGTCTGCAACCAGAGGGAAAATGGAGCATACCGGGCTGACCCCCACCCTCTGGGTGGCTGGCAGGTTTCCTGGTCACATTCCTGAGCACCACTACCCCCGGCACCATTCTTGACTTCCACCTGCCCCTCCACTGCCACTCTCTTTGAATAGATGAAGAAACAGCCACTGAGGCCAGGTGTGGCCTGTAATCCCAACACTTCAGGAGGCTGAGGCAGGCAAATCACCTGAGCTCAGGAGTTTGAGACCAACCTGGCCAACATGGTGAAACCATCTCTATTAAAAATACAAAAAGTAGCCAGATATAGTGGCATGCGCCTGTGATCCCAGCTACCTGGGAGGCTGAGGCAGGAGAATCACTTGAATCCGGGAGGTGGAGGTTGCAATGAGCTGAGATCATGCCACTACACTCCAGCCTGGGCAACAAGCAAGACTCCGATTTAAAAAAAAGAAAGAAAGAAACAGCCACTGAAAGGTCAAGTGACACACCTGAGACCCCTGGTCAACAGCAGCTGCCAGCAGAGGTCAAGTGACACACCTGAGACCCCTGGTCAACAGCAGCTGCCAACAGAGGTCAAGTGACACACCTGAGACCCCTGGTCAACAGCAGCTGCCAGCAGAGGTCAAGTGACACACCTGAGACCCCTGGTCAACAGCAGCTGCCAACAGAGGTCAGCACCAGTCTGACCTGGGTTTGAATCCCAGCTCTGCAATTTACCAGTCATGGGATTTTGGGCAAATGATGTAGCCTGTCGATACACCATTCCCTCACCTGTGAAAAGATCCATTCCTTGGACCTGCCTTATTAAGCTCCTCTATAGGTTTACAATTGTTTATATGTTTCAGCTGTTCAAATTCTTTCTCCAACCTGGACTTCTCTGAAATAAGACACCACCACTTCGATGTTTAATAGGTGTTTTAAATATAACACTGCTAAACTGGGGACACACCGGAAAGCAAAGGCCCTTCCCCATGCCTTTCCAGCTCTCCATCAGGTACCCTTCCATTGCTCAGGTCCGGGACCTACTTTCTTAGGGGCTTGTTCTTGCTGCCGTTGTTGTTGAGACGGAGTTTTGCTCTTGACACCCAGGCTGGAGTGCAGTGGTGTGATCTTGGCTCACTGCAACTTCTGCCTCCCAGGTTCAAGCGATTCTCCTGCCTCGGCCTCCCAAGTAGCTGGGATTATAGACACACGCCACCTTGTGGGGCTAATTTTTGTATTTTTAGTAGAGACGGGGCTTCAGTATGTTGGCTATGCTGGTCCCGAATTCCTGACCTCAGCTAAGCCACCCTCCTCGGCCTCCCAAAGTGCTGGGATGACTGGCATGAGCGACTGCGCCCGCCCGGCCAGGACCTGTTTTCATTCTTCCTTCATGGCTTCAGGGTTCTTTCTCCTTAGCACATACAGCAGCTCTAGCATTCTGTATCTTTCAGTATTCATCCTAGGGGTGACTCTGTCTTTAGACTGTCAGCTTCTCAAGGACAGGGAGCTTTGTTTGTCTCATTCGTTGCTGTGTCTCCAGCATTCTGCATGGCCCTTGGGACGCCGTGTCGAGGCTTCCTATGCTTTTGCTAGAGGAAAGGAGGAAGGGAGGGAGGGAGACGGGAAAGATAATACCAACCTTCCAGGGTTGCTACGAGAATGAAAGGAGGTGCAAGGGGCTCTGTAGCCCCTCCCCGGACTCAGGGGGCCCAAGCTTGCTTTGGGGGCCCCACCAGGTGCTTAGCGTTCCAGCTCTTGGCGGCCCTGGGGGCTGTGTGCTCAGCGCCCCTCTGGGGCAGTGAGACAGGCACCAGGAAAATTTCCCTGTCTCTGAGGATGTTGTTCTTTTGGGGTTCCATCACACATCCTTTTTTATCTCCCCTCTCCAAATAAAACTCAGCCCTAACCAGCCCTCTCTAGAAGCAAACACAGAGAGGACCAACAGCAGCTGGGCCAGGGGAGCTGTATCTTATTAATTTTTAATAATTTCTGGCCAGGCATGGTGGCTCACACTTGTAATCCCAGCATTGAGAGGTCGAGGTGGACAGATCGCTTGAGGCCAGGAGTTTGAGACCAGTCGAGCCAACATGGTGAAACCTGGTCTCTACTAAAAATACAAAAATTAGTTGGGTGTGGTGGCGCACCCCTGT